CAAACGAAATCTCGCATAGCTCGCAGGCGTAGGGGGGGGGGTGTTGATGCTCAAAGACCACAGCCGAACCACTGGACCTGGGACAAGAACGATTCACAAGACTCCTGATCAAGCGCCCGCTTGCTATACGGTTAGTCGAATACATGTTGCCACACAGAATGCACGAGTTAGAAAGAGTAACCACCCTGGCTAATACACGATAACCATGATTGGGAAGCTTCGAGTTAGACTGGTGACGGAGGAGCTGACGCCTGGTAGAGAACACAGCATCGCAGACACCTCCTTCCTCCCCCATATGGATGCCACACTCGAACCCAGGGGGAGGAGGAGGAGGAGGAGGAGGGGGAGGGGAGGGGGGGGAGAAACCCAGGGAGGCGGAAGGGGGTATCTGCTGACCTAGGTACTCGCTCGCCAGCGCCCGAGGGTCGACGTTGAGGAAGGCATGTCGAACCTCTCCTTCGCAGAATAGCGACACTGCGCGCTCCTTAACTCGAACGCGGCATGTCACCGAATTCCGATTGTGAATGTTTGATGTTATTTTCCTGCCCACGCGCTGGACGTGGGATACCTCGTGGGAGTGGTGAGAGCGCTGGAGGTCTGGATCCCTCCTCTAGGGGCTGGAAAGAAACGCCCGCACAATGATCACCCCTGCAGTTCAACAGGGCATGGCTGCTCGGGAAATCGGATCAGGGCGAGCGAAGACAAAGGCAACGCAAGAGTGGTCCCTGGGCCCCTCCCAGGGCCTCACCGCAGAACTTTTCCGAGCTGCGCCCAGCCGCGGCGACGAGGGGGGCCCCTCCCAAGGCCACCCGCCGCTGTCGCGGCGCGCCCTCACAAGCAGGACCGCTCAGTGAGCGCCAGCTGTGCGGGTCAGGGTGGCCTCGGGTGTCGACCTGAATAGCAGGGCTGGACCTAAACGGTGCTCTTCGTTTTCGTGTTGCTGTCGTTTTCCCTCGTTGTGCATTCAATCCGCCTTTAACGCAAAACGACATCGAAACGACAACGGCCCACGAAATCGCCAAAACACCGTTAGGTCCACCCCTGCTGAACAGTGCGTTCCGTTTTCGCTCTATGCTTCCGTGGTCCCTCGGTTTTGTCTTCGAAAGCCTCTAGCTGCAAAACGACACCGAAACGAAAAAAAAAGCCTCAACGACATCGCCCAAGAAAAAACACCGATGATGGACCGACCCCGGGGCGGCCGTGTGCCATCCTCGACCCCGCCGCTTGCGGACCTGCGGCGCGCCGAGGGGGTAGGAGGAGGAGGAGGAGGAGGAGGAGGAGGAGGAGGAGGAGGAGGAGGAGGAGGAGGAAGGAGAAGGAGGAATTGGTGAAGTAGCTCTAGAAGCCCTCTCAGAAGCCCCACCGCCTCCTGAGAGGCTGCCTCTGCGGCCCCTGGACCGGCACGCTCCACTCCTCGCAGGAACAGCTGCTCGCAAGCTGGCCCGGCTCCGCCGCGGCGGATTCGCGCTGCACATTTTTGCGAGGCGGACATAAGCGTGATTCGGACGTTTGCGAGCAGGCTCGGGGATGGACAGACCCCCCTTTAGTAGAACGTGGTTTACTGAAAACGACCCGAGGCCCAAACCTGGCGGGCGCAAGCCTGGAAAACAACGGCCACGGCGCCCTCTCGAGAACCGAAAACGGACAAGTCACTAATCGACGTGTCAGGGGGGTGGGGGGTTCTGTCCACCCCCGACAGGCACTCTGCGAGCAGCGGCACGCGGTCGGTGCGCCTCGGAGAAGACCCGCACGAGCCCTCTCGGGCCAGGAGGGCTCCCGAGCCTCCTGGGAGGCCTGCCCCCTCGGCCCTGCCAGACCCCCCGCGAGCTGCCCACGACGCGGACCCCTGGAGGCCTCGAGACCGAAGGAGGCAGCAAAGACCTCCCGCCTTGCTTCTCTTCTAGGGGGCCATATGCGAACCCTACCCCTACCCCCCACGACTTCTGAGGGGGAGGGTGGGGTTCACTTCGGTCGGGAGCTCCCGAGCGAAGTGAACCCCACCCTTCCCCTAAGAAATCGCGGGGGGTAGGGGTAGGATTCGCATGTGGCCCCCTATCTTCACGACGCGAGCGCCCCTCCTTCCCCGGAACGGCGGCGTTTTTTGGAGCGGCGCTCGGCTCCCTAATACCCTGGCAGGCGGGGTGCGCCAGGGGGGGAGGCACCAGGGCGGCGCCGCCGAGGGGAGCCCAGCGCAGGCTCGAGCAGTCCGCGCGGGGTCTCGAACTGTTGTGTTGATGGTGCAATTTTGCGGCAGGCTCCTCTCGTGCCGACCCCCGCGCTGGCGTCTGACACCGCGGGGATCGTGCAACTTTGAGCGATCGGCCGTTTCCGAAGGTTCAGATCGTTCAATATTGAACAAGGACCGACCGTCCTGGCATTCATATAGTCATACCACGAAATGTTCGTAGAACCCGAAGCTGTTCTAAGAGCAAAAACAACGTTCTTAGAACATAAACCCGACGTGTTAAAACGAGACAGTCCCAGCCAGAAATGTTCTAAGACCATTTCGTAGGAACCACAAAAGGTTCTTAGAACATTGTTTGGTAGGGCTATAGGCGAGCCAGGACGCTTCGCCAATGCTTGACAATATCGACCGACCCTGGGGAAATCAAACGGCATCGATACCGCTGCTCCCCGGACCTCTCCTGGGGGGCGCTCTGACCAGGACCTCGGGGCGAAGCCAGCGGTGTCGATGTGAGGGCCTCCCGCAGGAGGCCCGACAGTGGGAACACGGGCGAAGGGCAGCGGTGTGGGTACCTTTTCCTCCTCTGAGATCCTGGGTCAGCGGTGGACAAACCTCCCTTTAATAAACCTCCCTTTGGTGAAAACGGCCTGGGACCGAAACCGACGGACCTGGATCCGCAAAAATGACGGCCGCGACGCCCTCTCGCGAACCGAAAACGGCCAATTCCTTAATCGACGGGTCAGGGTAGGAGATATGTCCACCCCCGAATGGGTCGCAGGCGGCGTTCGTCGACACTGGACGCCAGAGGCGGGGGCCCCACTGGCCGATTTACCCCCCTAGATGGGGATAGAGGCCGCATCCGTCGGGTTTCGAGGGTATATCCCCAACTGGGGGGAAATTTGGCGGGGGTCCCGAAGGGGATGGGGATGGGGATGGGGATTGGTCAAACGGTACTGACGTATGCCATCTTCGAGCCTCAGGAAGTGCCTGCTGGGCGGGGGAAGAAGTGGCCCTCTGTGTCAAACGGCCAGCGTCCGCGGCCACGCCGACAGCGGACCCTTCGCAGATCGGCTCCACGCAAGAGTGACCCTAGGCAAGAGCGACCTTCAGTGCGCGGACTAACGGGGCGCGAGGTGGCCGATCCCAAGCACGCAAGCAGCCACTATCGCATCGCGCTCAGCGATCGGGGAGACCCTGGTGAGCCCGCACCAAAGGTCACTCTTGCGAAGGGTCACTCTTACGTTTAGTCGAGCAGAAGGGGGCGGGGGCTGCACTGCCAGCCTCCTCGTACCTATTCTTGGGTCGGGCGTGTCCTCCTACAGGCGGATCTTGGGCGCAACAACTCAACAGAAGTCCGAACAATACTCAAACATGGCAAAAAAACCAACACATCGTCCAAGGACTATCTCTTACTGTTTTTTGAATATTCCTCCTGTACAGGGACGCGCCCGACTTCACACTACGATCGCTCCCAGGCGCGCCGCCCCCTTCTGTACCTGTTCTGGAGGCAATTTTATATATGTGTTCCGAGTATGGGGCCAGGGGGGTTGTACCGCATCGCCGACGTCGGCGTGGAGAAGATCGGGCTCCACATCGAGCCGCATCGCCGATGCACCGACGATGCGTCGGCGATGCGGCGTGAGCCTCGGACACCATCTATTCCGACCCCATCGGAGAAGCCGAATTAGAATTCAAGCAACCGGTCTTTGTACCCATGCCTTCCGTGCGCATTTCGGTCGTACCGACATTTTTTTTGCTTGCTAGTGAGCGTGTTTTTTTTTCATCTGGCGTTTCGACATTGGGCGGAAAGGGGGAGGGAGGGGAGCGGGTCTGGCTCTGGACCTCTGCTTAGTGCGTCTGTTTGTGACAGTGCGTCCATCATGGGGGAGGCTCCACCTCTTCGAAACAGTCGCCAGCATCAGCCAAGATCTACTCCAGGGGGGAGCGGGGGGGGGGCTGCGAGGGCCCGCGCCTATCGGCAAAACAGCGAATTACGAGATGATCGCCTGCTGCTGGGTACGTAACAATCGTAACCCAGTGGTAGGGGGGTTGGAGCGCCAGGTAACGGTAACGCTTGATCGGCGTAGGGCACGTCGGGGCGGGGGTGCGCTCCGATCGCCATATCTGCCCACGACCGCCAGCATGTGGGGGGGATCCACAAAAAAAACCTCCAAGAGGTATGAGCGTTACGGTTACCCCGGGGAGGGGGCGTGGGGGGTGGCCGAGGTAGCGAACGCTACGCGTCACGAGCTGATCAAGAACACGAACTCCTGCCCTTTCGAGGCCCTCCAGCTGTGGTCCGAGCAGACCGTGTCGGCCTGGAGGAGAAGATCGGGCTCCGCGTCGAGCCGCATCGCCGATGCATCGGCGCTGCGGCGCAACCCTCCGACCCCGCCCTCTCGGACCCCACGTGGGAGGCCTGGCAGAGGCGCGAGTAGGGGCACGAACAATGATGTGAGCATAAAAGCTCGGAGGTCCGCGCGGACGTCTCGGATCGGCGCTGGACCCCCTTCCCTGGCGCGCGGAGCGCGCCAGGGGCGGCGCCAGAGGCACCGTCAGGGGGGCCCAGCGCAGATCCGAGAAATCCGCGCGGACCTCCGAGTTGTTCTGTTTATGTCCTTGTTTGTTCCCTTCTGCTTAGGTCGGGCATGTCCCCCTACAGGCGGAATTTGGAGGAAAACTAAAAAATACGCTCAAAATTTTGGATATGTAAAACAAATGCTGGGAAATTAATCCCTCGACGATGTTTCAAAAACTATGTTTGACACCCTGTAGGGGGACATGCCCAACTTGACCCTACCCCCCTCCCCTGCCCTTCCTCCTCCTCCTCCGGAGGAGGAGGAGGAGGAAGAGGAGAAGCAAGAGCGGAGAGCTCCTTGCTCGCTGCGCGCAGCGCCGCCTGGAAGGCGGTGGCGGCGGCGTGCGGCGCCCCGTCCTGAGCCTCTCTGCGCCGGGGGGGGGAGCCCTCGGCAGAGCAGGGCGGGGTGGACGGGTAAGGCTTCGGGATGCAAGCACACACAGATATACACGCCACGAACATATGTATATACATGTATGTGTAGTATATGTATACATGTATGTATATGTACACATGCATTGAACTAGAAACACCTAAACATAATATTATACACACAGATCCTCCGACGAACTGTGCATGTACCTTCAGGGGGGGACGGTGTGTGTGTGTATATATATAATCGCTGGTTCTGGGTGGTGATGTGCACACCACACCGCTCCCCCCCGAGGCCCAGGAACAATCCAGGGGAGGTTGTCTGTGCTTTTCTCGGGCGGGGCATAGGACGAGAACGAGGTCATGACTGGATTGGCTCAGGATGCGTTCCGGGACTTCCAAGAGTTTATTGAAAACGGCCCTCGCCTGTGCCATTGGAAAAACCTCGGAACTCTTCGAAATCCTGGAATCCAGGACTTCCAAGAGGTTATGTATAGCGGCCCTCGTCTGTGCCATTGGAAAAACCTCGGAGCTCCTCGGAATCCTGGAACCTGTGAACGCCTCATTATCCTGACCTCTTGCTCCCCAGAAGACAGCCCCCCTAGGTAGGCCCGGCTGGCCTCGACAGGCCCCCGGGTAGTCCAGGGCGGTCTCGACACCCCGGCGCCGCCTCTGGCGGCGCCCCTGGGGCGCCCTGTCAGGCTGCCAGCATTGGGATATTGAGACCGCCACAGACTACAGTTGGGGCAGATCCACAATAGACCTGCTACAAGAAACCCAACCTTGAGACCCCAGGACGTCCATTGATTTTCGGTGCGGGGACGTCACGCTTCCCATCGCAAAACCATCGAAACCCAAGAAACCCAAGGCACCCTGGAGGCAACCAGGGTGTTTCTTGGCAGGGGTCTCCGCTGTACTCGGGGAGCCTGTGAGGCCAACTGGGACTACTCGGGGGGCCTGCTGAGGCCAGCTGGGGTTGCTGTCTGTGCGCAACCCGAAGCCTGTCCAGGGTGGACGGCCGAGGGCGAGGAGAAGGCACGAGGACAAGCAGGGCGAGGAGGCAGACCCCCTCGCGCAACGAGCAAAGGCACGGCGGACTGTTTGTCGCTGGTTTCGGCCCCTGACGGCCCCTGCCGGGTCTCTGGGCCGTCACAACATGACTCGGGACGAACAGCCAGTCCTCCGGGAAGGGGTCTGCACCTGTGGCCCACGCCGTCAAACACCACGACGTCGGGGGCATGGAGAGGGAGGGGGAGGGAAGCGTTCGAGCAGTCTGGGTCCGCCTGGAGCCGACCTTGTGAGCCTGCTGGGCCGCCCTGGACGCTTTGGAGGCCGAAACGGCGCCAACGTTGAGGCACGCGACCATCGAAACCCAAGAAACCCAGGGCACCCTGGAGGCAAACAGGGTGTTTCTTGGCATGGGCTTCCACTGTATGCCAGCGCCTTGACTCAATTGTACAGCGGGCCGCAGATCCAAGGCTTCCAGGCTCTGGGGCGCCTGCGCGATGCGCGGGTGCGTCTCCTGGCTCTTCCAGAGGCCGCGGGGGGCGTGGTGGGGGGTCCCCCCGTCCCACAAGCCGCTTTGCGGTCCCAAAGAGCCGTTCTGAAGCCCTCTTGGGGAACTCATGAGCACGTTGGTGCCCTCGGGGCTTTTCCGAGATACCCAACTCGTTGAAACAGAACATACATGTTCAGTCAATATATGGCTTTCATATGCTCGATTTCTCGGTCCCCACCCAGAAGATACGAGATTACCTATGCGGGCCCAACGCAGCCCACGACGCCCTCAAGAAGACCTAAGATGTGTAATTCGAACTGACCCTGGGCGCACTTCCCACACCATGGCCCCCGAGACGACCAGCAAGGATTCCGAACAACCCCGAGGCGCCTCGGATGACCCAAAATGGCCTTTTGGCGGTCCGCACCGCAATTTGCGTTGCGTCACCGTGTTTGCGGCAAGGACGGTGATTGGACTGGCCGAGCGCTACTGGATACCTTCTTCTCTGATGCTATCATCCAACAGGCTGCTGAAGCCCAATGAGGATCTGATCGTGTCAGCCATGCGGCTTCTTGGTGCAAGCAGGGGCTGGAACTAACGATTGAAGCGCACGACTCGCCACGTATTGAATGATGTACGCAGGCGTGAAGACACACAGGGGATCGACTCGGGCTGGCGAAGCATCAACCTCCGACCTGTAGACTCACGGCACGCGAGTGGTGCATGGACAAAAACACATTGCTCGGGGCAAGAAACGACGACACGTCGGGCGTGACACGCACGCGGCGCAGCTGCGACCGCGCACTGACCTGAGCACGCGGATGCATTTCGACCGCCCGTGCGGCAGCGTCGAGGAAGAGGCGGAATAGAGAGAGGGGGAGGAGGACGACGGATGGGAGGAGGAGACCGCGCATCCGCCAGCTCGGACAGAGCCTGGCGGCGACATAGAGAGAGAGAGAGGGAGAAGCAGGCAGAGGCAGGCCGCCCTCGTTGCCGGCGCCAGACCCCCGACGCTATGTTTTTTTGTTCACGTCGACGATCCCTGGAGGCCTCGGCCCGATGCCCGAGACTCTCCATCCTGGGGCGGTTTTTGAAGCTCCCAGGGGCCCGGCGAGGGCTCGCGGGGGCAGAGCACCGCCAAAGCCCCACGTCGTGTTCGTTCCTGCACGACGCGAGGTGGTCTGGGCTTCAAGGCGCTCCAGCTCAGCCCTCAGGGCCCCTCCCGGGTCCCAGGAGGCACCTCCTGCCAGCGCGTGGAGCCGCGCCCGGGGGGCGTGGCGACAGGCACCTGCAGGAACGCCCCCCCCCCACCCCCCCCACCCCCTCCCTAGGAGCCTCCAATGATGGGCCTCCTTTCCACCAACCAAACCCCTCCTCCTCCTCTCCTCCTCCTCCTCCCCCTCACCCCTCCTCCTCCTCCTCCTCCTCCTCCTCCTCCTCCTCCTCTTCGTCCTCCTCCTCCTCGTCGTCCTCCTCCTTCCCCCCTCCAATTTATGGTGGTGATCGTGGAAAACAGGCCCAGCAGGGGAGGCAGAGGTGGCACGCTTCCTCGGAAGGCTCAGAGGGCCTCTGCGCTTCTGAGAAGCTTCGCAAGCCTCCTCCGAAATCACGGAGAAGGCCTCTCGGAAGGCTGGAAGGCCTCTGAGAAGCCCCGCCGCCGTCTGAAAAACGTCCGCTCACTCTTGCTTCTGCCTCGGCGCGCCGCCGACAATTGCAGACGTTCGTCCTCAATGTTTCTGGCTGGCCCCAGGGCCTGAAAGCGGCCTCCGGTTGCAGAAACGATGGAAGAGCGAACGACTTGCTCGTGACACCTGGCGCGTGGGAAAGCCTACGGCAGCCAGGGCGATCACAGCCCGGACCGCGCTGTAGCCCCGCGCAGAGAGGGCGGCGCCGGGGCGACGCGGCGGCCAAGAGCCTCCAGTGACACCAGACGACGGGGCAGTGAGAGGGCACCCGTGCCGCTCCTCCATGGCCTCTCTCCTGGGGAGCGCTCCGACCAAGACTACACGGCGTGCCCAGCCGTGCCTCCTCCTCCTCCTCCTCCTCCTCCTCCTCCTCATCCTCTGTTCCGCTCCTGGCAAGGACCTCCGAAACGACGACGACCACGACGACGACAGAGACGATGCCGCTAAATTCTGCCGACGGGGCCACCGATGATGAGCCATCGAAGACGCCTGGCCCTTTGGGCGCGGACCCCTGTCAAGAGGACCAGGATGCCAAGGATGGGGGAGCCATCCTCGGCAGACGTATCCAACGAAGGCACGGACAGCTAAGATCCCTGAGTTGCGCAAGGAAGTTCGGCAACGCCTTCATTGTATGATTCGGATTCGGGGCTCATGCATTCTCGATGAACCGAGGAGGCCGCCGTCGAGGCCACCGAGGAGGGTATAGCGGTCAGTGGGGCCCTGGCCACGCCAGTGGGGATAGGGATCGGTTATACGATGCCCCGTCGTCGTGGTCGTCGTCGTCATCGTCGTCGTCGTCGTCGTCGTCGTCGTCGTCGCCGCGGTCGTCGCCGTCGTCGCCGTCGTCGCCGTCGTCGCCGTCGTCGCCGTCGTCGTCGTCGTCGTCGTCGTCGTCGTCGTCGTGACGTCCTCGCCGGCGAGCGGGCGCGCCTGCGCGGCCCCGTCCACGGGCACCACGGGCGTGGTCGAGGCGAGCGCCGCCGGCGCGCCGCCCTGCGCCGCGCGAGGGCGGCCGGCCGCGGCGTGCGAGAGCCGCCGCCGTCGTCGTCGTCGTCGCCGTCGTCGTCGTCGCCGTCGTCGTCGTTGTCGCCTTCGCCGTCGTCGTCGTCGTCGTCGTCGTCGTCGTCGTCGTCGTCGTTCCTCGTCGTCGTCGTCGTCAGGATGGCGTCCCAGAGGACCCTAGAGGGCCCCAAGACCAGCCCAAGAGGCCTCCAGGAGGGTCCCAAAGCGGCCCCAGGGGGCCCGCAGTCGACCCAAGAGGCGCCCAAAACGGCCCAAGAGGGTCCAACACACGGCCCCAAAAGGGGCCCAAGAGAGGGAGCACGAACCGAAAATCCAAGCCTTCCGCCCCAAGAGGCCCCCAGGAGGCACCAAGAGGCGAACAGGAGGCCCCGAGAGGCCCCCAAGACCCAAGAACAAAGAGGCCCCAAGAGGCCCCCAAGATGCCCCCGAGAGGCCCCAAGAGGCCCAAAAGAGACACCAAGAGGCCGCCAAAAGGCCCCCAAGAGGGGTCCAAACTGTGTCCAACAAGGCCCCCGCGAGAGGCCTCCCACAATATCCCAACGAACACCCAGCACCACAACCCAAGCACGGTGGCGAGATTGCAACCCCGAGACCCCAGGACGTCCATCGAGTTTGGGTGTGGGAACGTCGTCACGCCTCCTATATCAAGACCATCGAAACCCAAGAAACACAGGGCACCTTCGAGGCAAGCAGGGTGCTTCTTGGCACGGGCTCCCACTGTACCACATAACAGAACACAGCATAGGGCACAGAAAATGCCCTAGCACCAGACACAAAAACCAATCAGTGGATGTTTCTCGCTGAGGAGATCGACCAGGAACCCGGGAGCCCGGGAATCCAGAATCCACCGAAATCGGTCTGGAACCAATAACCGGGAATCTGGGAACCCAGCCTGCTACCAAAATCGGCGGGAAATGTTCGCCAAATCTATTCAACTTCCGCTAGGACCCCGTCAGTGCAAACACTGAGTGGGGAACATAGAGCACAAACAATGCCATGACAAGACGTAACATAACAAAGCCTAGGACAACGGTAGTCGGCCACCCGGCCCGACCGCCGCGCGGACCAGGACACAGCGGGCCCTGCGCGCATCGTTCTAGTGGGCACGAGCGCCCTCGGGAACAGACGCCGAAGGCTCCTTGGTAAGCAACGCTCGGCACAGAGTATCGAGCTGTGCGTTTTGTTGGGGGGAGGAGGAGGATGGCGAAGGAGCGCGGCCATTTCACCCGACTCGGCCTCGACCGCTCTGCGAGTTAGGAGACAGGATGCAAATTCAGAGCTGGGAGCGCCGCGTAGCAATCTGTGGCGTCATGCTGTCCATCGCATGCTACGGTTGCATACGTTGTATGCAACGGCGCTGAGTGCTCCACGCAGGCGGATCAGTGCAAGCAGTCCACGCGAGAGCGCTTACTCTCTAGCGACTCTCGTGGCGACTGCCACAGGAGCACAGCCTCGATCGACTCGCACCTGATGGCACTCGCACATCTACTGGAGAAGAAATGCAAATTTATGAATAATCATGGGGGCCGCTACAACACTGGACTACACACTGGGTGGAGAACTCGGTTTCTGCATTCGAAGCAGATGCTGTCGAGGAGAGTATGTAAACTCAGAACAAATTGACAGCCGCCGAACACCCATTTCTAAACACTTGCTTGTGATGATCTGGCTCACACAGGCGAGACTGCTGCACACGATATACAAATTCAAGAGCGCAATTATATTATGCTGAGGCCCCACTGCGAGGCTGCGTTATCATGGGTTCTGTGCCTCAGGTGGAACCTCTTTGTTGTCGCCGCCGGCCACCTGCTCCTTCGGGGCACCCAGCTCCCTCGCGGGCATGTTGAACATCGGCGAGCTGCCCAGCCTGCCGAGGGCGAAGGAGTAGCCAACGCCCACGAAGATTGAGCCTGCGAAGATGTTCCCGAGGGTCACTGGGATGAAGTTCCTCCAGAGGCAGTCCCACACCGACACGTCGGCGCCAGCTATCATCCCCAAGGGAATCATGAACATGTTGGCCGGGATATGCTCGAAGCCGATGGCCACGAAACAGGAGATGGGGAACCAGATGCCCACCATCTTGCCAGTCATGTCCTGCGCTTGGCCCTGCAGGAAGACAGCCATGCACACCAGCCAGTTGCAGCCAATTCCCTTCAGGAAGGTGATGAAGAAATTCTCCTTGATTTTCTTTTCCGCCACCTTCATCGCAAGCTTGGCAGTCAAGCCCACGTTCAGGTTACAGGCCTCGACAAAGAAGGCGAAGAGCACGGCGCCAATCAGATTGCCAGTCCAAGCCAGCGCAAACGTCCTAGGGATCTGCTTCCAGTGCAGCTTGCCTTCACACACCGCCGCAGGCACGGTCGCAGCTGTACCAGTGATCAGCACCCCACCTGTGAGCAAGATGAGCAGCAGATTCACCGGGAAGAGCGCAGCGAATACAAAGGTCTGAATGGTGGGGTTGTCCTCGGCTGCCTTGTCCAGACCGCCAGCCACCACCATCGACAACATGCCACCGAAGCCAATATAGCAACCCGCGTAGAAGGACTGGTGGAAGATCTTGATAGACGCGTCGCCGCCCATCGACACGCCTTTGTCAATCATGCCCTGGAACGCCTCCTTGGGGGTCTTCACGATCGCCATGAGCTCCGGCATGGTCGCGCGTCTTGCTGCGGACAGGCGGCGCCTTAGGCAATGCCAGGATGCGGGGCAGGGGATGCTCCCGCCGATGTGAGCTCGAAGCGCAACGGCCCTGCGCTGCAACGACTTCAGCCCAAATGGCTGCGGGTGCTCTGGGAGGCCTCTCGGGCGGCCTTGGACGACGTGAGTGCCGAGCCGTCGCATGTGCGAAGCGTATATTGCACCAGAAAGAAGAGGCAGTCAGTGGATGCCTTGGAGGTCTCCCATGGACTCCACGCCTGACTTTTCCTTCCCTCTCTATATCGTGATCTCTCTCCGTCTCTTTGTTTTAAATACGTATGCTGTATACACACAGCCTATGCCTACTTGGCATGCCCTCAAACCTTGCTATGGACTCTAATGTCCCAAGCCTACTCTCAACTATGTGTACAAGTGTACTGACACATGCCAATATATATATATATATCATATATATATGTATGAGCATTCACCATCCTTCTCTCTCTCTCTCCTCTATCTTTCTCTATCTCTGTTTCTCTCTATGTACCTCTCTTTCATTCCCTCTCTGCACCCAACATCGCCCGATGCTTTCTGGGATTCCCCTATCAGTGCTTGCACTGAAAGGGTCCAAGCGGAGATTGAGAGATTGGGCGAAAATGCCGGGCCGATTTCGGTGGGCGGCTGGCTTCCTGGGTTTCCGGGATCCCGGTTGCTGGTTTCCAGACCGACTTCGTCGGGCGGCGGGGTTCCCAGGTTTTCGGGTTCCCGGGTTCTTGGTCGATCTCCATATCGATCGGTCTCACCATCGATCTCACCACCGACCCCACTATTGATCTCACAGAACGGATCCCTCTAAAGATCGCACGAACAATCCCACGATCGATATCACTATCGATCTCACTGAATCGACTTCACGACTGGGCTCACGATCGACCGTACTTTCGTCCTGCATATCAATCACACTACCATTCTCACGATCAATCTCACAATCGATCTCACTATCCATACCACGAATTCCCAAACCATCCACTGATTGTTTTTTTTCTTATGGTGATGTACTCTCTATACGTACTACATCTCATTCACTGTTGCCTGACCTTCATCGCGCAATATTTCCCTCCCTCTCGCTCTCTGCAATCACTCTGGTCAACTCTGCTTGCAGCTCTCTGGCCCTGGTATTCTCTACGATGTCAAAGACCCAGGCGCTTGGCACAGCCAAAATCTCCGGAACCACAGAACCTACCGCTGCCAAGAATCCCAAGACGGCAACCAAGAAGCCAGAACTCCACCAAATCTTCCACCGCCGGGGACCCCGGGATCGGGAACCGGGAACCCGGGAACCCAACCGTGCACCGTACCAGGAACCTGGGAACCCAGCCGACACTGCACTGCCAGGACCCCTGGAGTCTGGATCCAATAGGACCCCCGACCTCACACTACTGGGAAACCTGAAACAAGGAGGAACAGGGAAGCCCGAACCCCCGACGTCGTGATTTTGCCGCAACTTCGAGCCCCCTGGGACTGGTCTTTCATCCTGAGTCGCTATTTTGACGGGCCCGAGGCCCGGGCTAGGGCCCCCCAGAGGCCGAAAGCGGCAGAAACCCTCCCGTCGTAATTTTTGTTGTCGCAACGCGAGTGGGCCTTGGAGCGCAGCCGCCAACCGATCCGAAATCGGCCCAGAGCCGGGCACCGGACGCCCGGCCTGGGGAGCGAGGAACACCCCGGAACCTGGGAGCCCAGCCGCCTGCCAGGATCAGCCAAGGACAGGCGCCAAACATCTCGCAGTCTCCTCCTCCTCCTCCTCCTCCTCCTCCTCCTCCTCCTCCTCCTCCTCCCCCTGCCCCTCATCCTCCACGTTTCCTCCTCATCCCCCTCCCCCTCCCCCTCCTCCTCCACCTCCTCCTCCTCCTTCTCCTCCTCCTTCTCCTCTTACCTCCTCCTCCTCCGCCTCCTCCTCCTGCTCTTCCTCCTCCTCCTCTTCTTCCTCTTC